TAGAGACACTACATACTGATATACACCTGAACATCAGCAGGAGAGGACTCTTTAAAGTAGAGACACTACATACTGATACACACCTGAAAATACTCCCCCTCTTGACACACTTTCCGTCTTGTGATCACTTTTCTCTCCGGATCATCATCAATCTTTTTTCGTGTCCTTTTCTCTGAAAGGAACATGCTAACCATTAGCTCTGTGTGCTTTGGGTCTGCGTGTGAAAGTAGAACCAGACGTTAGTCAGATCCGAACATCAATAAGAAGACAGGAGACACGGCCAAAAACACGTCAATTATTCATATACTTAGTACTCTTGGCGTAGAGCTGTTTCTCGTGGTTTAAAACGCTGTGCAATAGACTCAATGGCTGCAGCAATAAGAACAAATACATACATAGAATATTAATAATGATATAATAATACATGGGATTTTATAGCGCTTTTCCTAATGCTCAAAGACACTTAAATATATAATGTGTGTGCGTGCGTGTGAAAATAAACTTATAGTACCAAAAAACGAATGCAGGAGAGCCAGTTTCAAAATATAATATTTGTTATATCTGGATTATTATGATTCATGGTGATGCATTAATGTGTTCATTTATGCAGCTGGTAAAGGTGGAGCTCATACTGACTCATTCATTGGTTCAGATTCAGAATACTTAAGTGTCCATAAAATTGACATCCAATGGAAATTAGTCTTTGGCAAATAATCAAATCAAGTTTTATTTATATAGCACATTTATAAACGATCTTTGGTCGAGCCAAAGTGCTGAACATGTAATAAAAATAGCCTACAGTAGAGACACTTTACAGCAAATACAACAGCACAGATTGTTCAGAACATCAGTATGAGAAAAACAACACCCTCTGTCCTCAGACCCTCTGTCCTTAGACCCTCTGTCCTTAGACCCTCTGTCCTTAGACCCTCACATCGTACAAGGAAACACTTCCAGAGAAAACCCACAGTTTAAAGGGAACATGGGAGAAACCTCAGGGAGAGCAACAGAGGAGGGATCCCTCTCCCAGGACGGACAGACGTGCAATAGATGCCGTGTGTAAATCCAAGAGATAATACATTTTACAGCAAATAGACCGAATGTTAGGAAATGCATGTGTCTGTAATAAGAAGATGAATCCACGAGGATGTCAGCTACAATCCTGAGGAAGCCATCAGGGAAGCAGCATGACGAGACCCAAGGCAGGACCGCAGAGACAGGTTCAGCCACGACCCGAAGTCCACGACTTAATCCAGAACTCAGGATAGAGGATCCAAGACACAGGACTACAGCAAGAGGATCAGCCTCGACTCCGGATCCCGGCGTAGATATAGATACAAGACAAGAAGAAAGATTTGGCTGGGTTAATCGGAACAAGAGAATACACAGACACAGACAGAGAGGGAAAAGGTCATTGGATAAAAGTTATTCTTCATAACCCTCTAGAAAGATCTCATGAACTTCCCCACTCAATCTATCAAGACCCGAGCAGTTCTATTAGATATAGATAAGAAACAGAGACAGGGATAACATGAAAATAACACTCACTGTTGCGGCTATACAGTAAGCAGTCCAAATAAGAAGGCAGCGAGGGCAGCGAGGGGTCAATACGGGGATTTATTGCAGGAAAAACAAGCAAAAATACAATTTATCCAAGTGCAGATAACCTTAATTGAGCCACTGATAGTTAAGGATACTGTGGTGGAGAAATGTTGCAGGACTTCAGTATACATTTGACCGTTTGGATTTGTTTGTCGCCCACCACCTTCAACTATACGCAAGAAATACCACATAATAAATAGAAACTCTCCACACACACACACACACACACACACACACACACACACACACACACACACACACAGGGAAACTGCATCTCAAAGTGACTTAAAGTGGTTTGTTGACCATTTAAACATCAGCTGTGTTAGAAATAACAAAATGTACTTTACAAAATACAATTAGGTGGTGGTGTTGGTGGCAGAATGTCCTAATAAGGATCCTTGAGGCTTAAATATAATTCAAAGGGACATTTATATATTTTGAATTAATTAATTCGCTGGCCTGGGAGCGCCTTGGGACCCCCAGTCAGAGCTGGTTGATGGGGAAAGAAAGTTTGGGGCTCTCTGCTGGAACTGCTACCCCGAGACCCGACCACGGAGAAGCGGGAGAAGATGGATGGATGGAATTAATGATATTCAATCCAATCCAACTTTATTTATACAGCACATTTAAAAACACCAGAGTTGCTGTACATCAATAAATATATAAAAAGCAGTACAATACATTTAGACCAAACCGATGGGACAAAAATAAATAAAACCATACTTATAGCCACAGACTGAAAAACTCATACACGATGTACAAACATTTAAAACACGACAAAATAGAAAACCCCAATTTAGAAAACACAGATATGAGTAAGTGTGCTTCACCACAGACTGATAGGACCCTGCACAGTTGGTAGTGGAGTAAAAATAAAAGCATAATGAAATGGAAATACACAAGCACCTCAAAATTGTACTTATTTTGAGTGCTTTGTGGGGACCCCTCACTCTATGGGCTCTTGTCGCCCCCCAGTGGTCGACGTGAGGTACTGCATAGAGAGAGTATATGAGGAGGGGGTGACGGGGTTTTTTGGCCCTTTAAAGAGTCACGTCCCGGCCGTCTCGTTACCCCCAGCAACCAGACATGATGTCACAGCCATTTGATCTTGAGTTTAAGGAAAGAAAAGAGGGTGGTGTGTGTCCGCTGCCATGAGTCTAACCGGGAGATAAATGGATGTGTGTGTGTGAGAGAAGGAGAGTCGCTGCAAAGCATGCTGGGACGCTGGAGGGGAGAAAAGGGGGGGGTTTATTCATGCAACCTGTTAGAGTCAAACACAACAACAGGCCGTTTCCCTCCTCCCTCCCTGAGGCTCGGAGGAGTTTCCAAAGCTTGACTTCCAGGATTTTGCTGCCAGATAAATCTGACCCCGATCTGCACCCGGATCACGCTGAGCGGCCATTTAGTGCCCGCCAAACCAAACACACAGAAAGTGCGCTACAGAAACGCAGAATAGCTGCAGGAGTGAGACCTAAAGCCAGGACGTCAGGTTTCTCTTTAGACATGCAGGGGAACCTGTGCACAATTCGAATGTCAACTTTCACCAGCGTAGAATCAGTGTGTTTCAAGGCACCTTATTGTGTTGGGATCGCTTCAGATTGTAAAGGGTTCAAAGCGATTAATGTCATCATATATATATATATATATAAACTCTTCACCCTTCAGTACAGGGAACTGAGAACTTCCACACCACCACTATGTGCAATATAAATACCATCATTACTAAACACTCTGCTGTATAACATGTGCAATATTATTATTATTAATAATAATAATGTTCGATAAATAACGTGCAATTACGTATCTACCACTACGGTTTTTGCACTACTAAATACTGTTCCGCCAGGGGGGCGTCTTGCCGTCATTTGACTTATTCAGCTCGGGACGCCCTGAACTCGAGCCGAGGGCGCCCAAACAAATCAATAATTCGAGAGAAGATCGAGAGTTTTTATCGCATGAAATAACGAAAAGGAAAAGGACATCCCTCTGTTGGAGGTAGGGATGGGTACCGAGCCCCGGTATTAAACGGGCCCCGGGGCTGAATTATTAAAGACCGTGGAACCGTTAAGCTCCAACGTTATCGTTATCGGTCTTTTTATCGGTACTGGAGACATGTACAAAATATATGTCGTGTGTAATGTTGCTACACAAACATTATATTGCAGTTTTAGTTTCGCCAACTCCGTTTCTAATATGCAAAAAGACTGCAAAATGCATGAGTTTAGCATGTAAGGGCGGTAACATGAGCAATGTGTCTAAACATTTATCAAAAGAGCTCCACATCCAGACGGAGGAATGCACCGGGTTCGACTGTCTTTCTAGCAGCTCTGTAGCCCCGTCCACGAGTAACGTTTCCACGTCAGGTGTTCTGTATGCTAGCAGCAACACACGGAGTTAACTACATGATACAAACACGGGTTACTGCAGTGTTTCTCAAACTTTTTCATACCAAAGACCACTCGCGGACCACCTAACTCCACAAATATCAAAAACCACATCGTTTTTCTAGAACAGATTACAAATCGCCTGAAAATGGTACAAACAAGTGGCAACATGTGTGATGAAGGTGTTGTGCTGGGCTATATCATGCAATCGAAAGTGAAACTTAACCTCGCTCCATTGCGGAGATATTCCCGCGAGAGTGCGGAAAACTTAAATTGATTAATTAATTTCAAATGTGAAATGTTACCAATATACTCACGGACCACCAGTGGTCCGCGGACCACACTTTGAGAAGCACTGGATTAGAGGAAACTGAGTTATTTATTTTGTAAAAAAAACATTGTTGTTTCTTTTTATGTGAAATATTATGTATTTAATTTAAATAAAAAGCAATGTTAGTTTTATTCACAATTTGTTTAGTTAGTTTACCTTAATGTTGTCTCCAAAAGAACCGATAAGAGAACCGTTAAAAGACCGGACCGATAAGCGCTATCGATAAAACTAGTAGTACCGTTAAAACCTTAACGATACCCATCCCTAGTTGGAGGGGCAAAGGAGTCTGGTGGGATTCTTTTCTGAGTATTGAAGATAATTTCCCGGCATCGAAGGTGCCTGTTACGGGACAACGCGGAACGTGCGCGATTTGGACACGATAAGCGGTGCTAGTGGAGCGTGCGCAAGAACTGCGAGCGCCGGAGCCTCGCAGCGACGAAACTGTGGTGACATGAAGAGCCGCTTGGGAGAAACAGCCGGCGCTTTAAGAGCGCCGAGCCAAATGGTCCGGCTCACTAACGTAAAGAGACGGGATCTATAAGGGACGGCTCAAGTCCAAATTCAAACTCTGGTCCCTTTATTCCATGATGTGTTGTTTATGTGATTCTATCCTCTCCTGGTGAATGTGCACTTTGCTGGTTTTAATGTCATCTCATTCCCTTCTTCCTCCTCTTCTGTTTCAGTCTTGGTTCCTCTGACAAGATCTGTGCCCCAACCAGCAACCAGAGTTCTTTCTTTACAATCGGAAATAAGAAGAGAGATTCAAAACCTGCCCTCCAACAAACCCACCGACCTGACAGTACGTCCCACCTGATGTTTAGGAAATACACCCGAAGCAACGCAGGAAACCACAGCAGCTTTTCAGAGGAACTCATTTGATCCAGTCAGAGGGAGAGGAGAAGATGGACAAGATGGACGCCGGGAGGAAGCTCAACTGAGGAGTTTTGTTTAAAGAACGACAGAGAAAAACCAACAAAATCAGGTTTCTCCATCACATTTCCCCGCATCGCATCCACAAAGGTGTCCGCTGAAAGCTGCAGTCCTGTGACGTCCCCCAAATTGTCCAAATGTCCCTCTGAAAAGACTCGACAAAGTCCCTTTTTACCCTGCTACTAACTAGAGAGAGACCATGCCAAAACGTATCTCCATTTAAGGGTTGCACTAGAAGCCGAATCAATTAACACTAATCCTAACGATGTGCACTATTTACCTGCCAGGCATGGGAGGTGAACCCTTCTGATGAGAGTTTTAAAGAGGAAACAACTCAACCCCCCCATCGACCAATCATTGGCCTCCGCTCACTTTCCCCGCACAACACACACACCATGAACATGATTAAAAACACACACACACAGTTTTAGATCGTAGTATCCATAGGTGGAGGTGTGTGTTACCATATATGTATTCTACACACACGTAGCCCAGTGAACGATTCAATTAGACATCCAAACAACACACACAGATAATCCCAGTGTGTGTGTGTGTGTGTGTACTGACAGTGACTTTAGACAGCAGCTATTGGTTCCCCCTTTGCCCTCTTATTGTAATGTAGATGAATGATTTTGTTATCTCTTGTGTGTTCTCTCTTATTTGAATTTATTCCTTTTGGATTTGTACTATTTTTTCATTGTTTTGTATTTGAATGACAGCACCTTATAGAGAAACACAATAAGACGTGGGATGTTGAGGCGGTGACGACAGGGTGCGGCTGACCCGGGTCAAACACTGACGACACAAACAAAGACATAGATTGGCGTTTATTTTGGGGAGATAAAGGATTTTGACCAAGAGTTAGACGAGAAGAACGATCGCACGTGAGATACGAAGCTAAGATGAACAGCTGGTTAGCCTAGCTTAGCATTAAGGCTGGAAACAGGGGCTAACAACACATTGATTTGTGCAATATTCTACGAAAAGACATACAAATATTAGGAATAACAAACTTATTTTAAATAACCAGGTTCAGTATCCTGTATCCTATCCAATACATATTTGAATAACTCCTGCTTTTAACAATTTAAATAGAAATTACGCTAAATTATTGAGACATATTGGGAGTAAATAAGTATTTGATAGCATTATTTTTAGCTTCCTAGGGCCCATGCACACTACAGTTAGCATACACGTAGCTTAAATGCTAGCATAGCTGTTTCCTCCCCGTTTCCAGTCTTTGTGCTAAGCTAACCGTCTGCTAGCTTCCTCTGTACCACGATGCGCGTGGCGTCCATTTTCTTGTCTAACAATTAGCTTAAAAAAGCTCCACACTATCAAACTGGTGTAATATTCCTCAACGCCAGATGAACCTGGACTTGCAGGGTTTTTGACAATCACAGGAAGTTCATTTACCTGCGGACACACACACACACACAGATAATCAGCTGTTTGACCCGGGTCAGGCTGCCGGTGGAGAAGAGAGTGATAGACAAACCGAACCGAGGAGGGAAGGTTGCTGAAAACGGGAGAAAAAGAGAGAGTAAATCTTCCTTCTGTCTCCTGGAAAAGTTTACCCTGATGTTTACACTCCCAGACGGGCCGAGGCTCAAAGAGCACAGCGGCCACACTGCGGAGCAAAATAATGAATATGTGACATATCTGAGCGGAGCGAGGGCCTCTGAGGCTGAGGTGGACGATCACACGGTGCACAAATCTGATTTAGTGCACAGGAAAAAAAGGATATCCCCCTACACACACACACACACACACACCAGCACACCCCCTATTGAGTGGTGCAGGAATGAATGAATGAGCGCGGAAGTTAGTTAGCATTTTAGCGCTTCCTGTTCCCTCGTCTGGAAGGTTTTTGGTTAGAAACTGGAAATAAGTTCTGTGGTTAACACAAGCTGGAGATATTTTAATTGTACGGCATAAATACCCCACTGGTGAGTTTAAAAACGAAGGTTGCTAACGTCAAGACGCTGAACATTAGCTGCATTTAGCTTAGCGGTGGTGACGTGAAGCCGAATGACGTCAGCTTTTAATTTTGGAGATACATTTACCCTTCAATCAATCATCATTCCACAACATCAGTAAATACCCCCTATTGAATTTAAAAACGGAGATTGCTAACAAGTGTCTAAATGAGATGACTAAACGGCATCACGCCCAACATTAGCCACCTTTAGCTTAGCGGTGATGACGTAAAGTCATGTGACCGTGCTGTAGTTCCTTTATAGCCCAACATTAGCCTCCTTTAGCTTAGCGGTGATGACGTAAAGTCATGTGACCGTGCTGTAGTTTCTTTATAGGCCAACATTAGCCACCTTTAGCTTAGCGGTGGTGACCTAAAGTCATGTGACCGTGCTGTAGTTTCTTTATAGCCCAACATTAGCCACCTTTAGCTTAGCGGTGGTGACGTGAAGTCATGTGACCGTGCTGTAGTTCCTTTATAGGCCAACATTAGCCACCTTTAGCTTAGCGGTGGTGACCTAAAGTCATGTGACCGTGCTGTAGTTCCTTTATAGCCCAACATTAGCCTCCTTTAGCTTAGCTTGTTTATCACAGAGGTTATTTTCGGCGATAATCCAAAATCCCATGGAGAAATCCCCTTGGCGTTTTGTGGAGGGAACCAGGAAGAAGCTAACTTCCCGATACTTCGTCCCTGCACCACTCTGTTGTGAATCGATGAGCCCTTAATGATCAAAACTGCACTAAAACAATCACACCAGCCAACACACAGACGTATAAAGACCACTCACTATTAACGCCCCCCCCCGTGCAATTCAAAGGGAAGTCTTAAAAATAGACAATCTGAGGAAGCCTTTTATGCTTTTATATCATTCGCCCACGACATAATATTCAGTTATTTCCTGATAAATCACCCATCCGACCTCACTAAATAACTGGACTGCCTGTTCTTCACTGCAGGGAAACACGACATAGTGGGCCGACATCTCTCCGGAGAGACTGATTTATGTTCTAACCTATGGAAGTGCCTCTGTATTCCCATTATGCAATTTATCAAACATGAATTCAGGTTCTTTTTTCTCACATATAAGCTATAGTGAAAAAACATTTATGTCAGCAGCGACGGTGAGAGGGAAGTGACAGCTCACTAGATCATCTATATATATAATACACATATATATTTATAGATATATACATTTTGTTTTTATTTGCAAGATAAGCTCTGTGGCAGTCTAGTTATTTTTTGAAGCATCTGTACAACTCTAAAAAAAAAACACGGGATACAATAGAACCCAAACAGGACAGTGATGATAGCGAGGAGAGTAAAAACGGTTTGTTGTTTTCTTTGTTTTGATGGGAAGTATTGTTCTTGAAACTAAATGATGTATGTTGATTGAGCCATGTGCAATGCCTTGGTAGAGGTGTTTGTTTGTTAGCGATTGTTTGAGGGTGTCACGAGAAAAAGAGGGAAAAATCCTCGACGTTTTCTTATTTTGTTTTGAAGTCCACGAGCTCCGGGACTCTAAATACGAGGGCGCGGAAAAGATCCCAGTCTTTGACGTAAAGGTCGGGAAAAATGTTTGTTTTATTTCCTCTTATTTTTTATGCAATCTTTCTTATGATTTTCTAAAATGTAGGAGAGGGCTGAAGGAACAATTTTGCAACTCATACAAATATATATCACTATGAAACCTGGTGCTTTGGTAAAAATAATAAAGTACATTCAATCTCTATTATACATAAATATTAAGCAAACTTTAGGAAAACATGCATTACTCTATTCTCTTTTGTTCTGTATTTACCGAGGGGGAGGGGTTCATTCATGTGACAAAAGGCATCCCCCCCCCCCCCCCCCAACCTTTTGTACACCACGGAGGAAAAATCTGTTTGTTGGACGAACTTTTTCAAATCTTGGCGATAGTTGGTGTTTCGGGAGAGGGGATCAGCCCGTCATGAGGTCACCATTTAAAGTGACCCCCCCCCCTTGTCCCTTCTTCTTCTTCCTCCCCCCCTCCCACTGTAAATGATTATAAATACTTGTTTGGTGACGTAGTGTTTCTAGACTCAGAGCATCTTAAAGGTTGTCCCTAAAAAGTGCCTTTTGTTCACAGACTCCATCAAAATGTAATCCTGAGTGCCCAAAAAAAAAAAAAAAACTGCTCTCCCCTCCTTCATACTTCTTCTTCTTCTTCTTCTTCTTCTTCTTAAAGCAGTATACATAGTACTAAAGGAAATTGGTGTGATTTAGTTCCTCTTTTTATCGTTGAATAATTAAGAAAAGCTTAAAAAAAAAAAAAATCTGTCTTGCTTCCTCCTCTGTGTCTTCTGTCTATCTTGGACACTGGATTAGTCTGTAGCCGCTTCCTCTTCCTCTTCCTCCCCTTTCCTCCCTTTTCCTCTGAACGGCGGGGTTTCCAAAAAAAAAATCAAAAAAAAAATGAGCAAAGGTTTTTGTTTGTCTGAGCAGAATGCAGTTAGCTCACATGTTATCCTTGTCTTCTGTACGCTTCACATTGTATTACCATACCCATGTTTTCAGCTTCTCCATTCAGCCAGCGCTAATGTAAGTGAACAAGTTACACCACGGGGCTCTGGGCTGCGCTGAGGCTCAACAAATAGTCCCTCTGGAGCAACAGCACCACCTGGCGGAGGGATACGAGCACTCGGTCTAAAGCGCGGCGGGATATAGGACTGCTAGTTGTTCTTTTTAAATCTATTTATTTTTGTTATAATTGAATTTGGATTAAATTCTTTTTGTGTCACTGTTACTGCGTATCTTAGGCGTTGACACCTTAAACGATGCACCTTTCTAGTGGTTGAGTGAGACCAGCTATTTTTTTATTTTGTACTTTTTAAAAGGAATAAATAAAAAAGTCTTGAAGCACCTTATTAAGAAGCGGACCGGTTCCCCCAGAGACTGACGAGGCTCACAGTTTTAGCACAATCATTAAAGAGTATTCACCGACGCCATTCGAGGAAACATCGCAGTGTTTGATTGACCAAAGCGATATGGGTTTTTAAAAAGCTGTGCAAAAATAAGTTGTAAAAAAACAGCACCGTAAAATTCCACCAGCAAAACAAGAATAACATAATGATCTTATGCAACTTTTTACTTTTCAAAACAATCGAAGCCAGCAGCAGTATTATCAATCAAGCCTTTGACAAGTGAACGCATCACAGTTTGAGAAGCCATATCGGAGAGGGGCAGTGTGTGTGTGTGTGTGTGTGTGTGTGTGTGTGTGTGTGTGTGTGTGTGTTCAGTGTTGCCCCGGCACCGTTCACAGAGCCCAGTCGAACCGTCCGCCGTTTTTCTGTTTTATTATTTTCTTTTAGACATTCTGTAGGTTGCCGGGCAGATTTTAGGTTAGAGAGCCCCCCCTCCCCCCCGAAAGCGAGTGCTCCTCCCCCTCCTCACCCAACCCCCCCCCCCCCCCCCCCCTCGTCCTCGTCCTCAGCGCACCCCCCAGAGCCCCTGGTGAAATGCATGTGTTAATTACAGTTTCTTTTCCATAATAATAATAAAACACAGTTTGAAAAGAGCAACACCTTTACCTGATTGAATAAAAGGATGTTCTGACTGTACCTCGCCTCCTCGTCTCCTTTCTGCTTGAACAAGGTCACTTTGAATCCACTTCTTCATGTCTCTTCTACATCAACATGTGTCCCCTCTTCTTCATGTCTCTTCTACATCAACATGTGTCCCCTCTTCTTCATGTC